ACTAAAGGTGACATAGATACTTTATTATGGTATAGTATTTAAATATATGCCTGAGAAACACATAATGTTGCCCCTTTAAGAAGGGATTTAAAAAAAGACAGGGATGACGCCTGTCTGATGTCCAAAGGAAGGTCGTTCCATAATTTAGGAGCTGCCACAGAAAAAGCACGGTCACCTCTGTCTCGGATACAGTCGGGAGCAGCTGATCAGCAGACCTGAGGGATCGAGAGGGTTTGTAAGGATGTAGCAGTTTGGACAAATAGGGCGGAGCAAGACCATTAAGAGCTTTAAAAATAAAAAATAAAACTTTCAAATGAATCCTAATATGCATGGAGGCTAAAACAGGAGAAACATGATCAAACTTTCATGCGCCAGTTTAAAGCTGTGCAGTTGCATTGTGTACCCTCTGAAGCTGAAAGATGCAGGAATCACTGAGGCTTTTTCCCTGTGCCATTCCACATTATTACAAATAACTTAATTTCTGGACATTTATGGTTTGATTTCTTTGTATGTATGGATCACTTGGGTTGTTACCGACATCTGGTGAAAATTTCATGTCATTAGCACCTCTAGTAATATATTTAATAGTGACATGTTCAATACTTATTTTACCCGCTGTATGTGAAAGATTTAGAGACAGAGGTTATGATGACCAACTATTAAAAAAATGTTATGAGAAAGTTAATAGTCTGAACAGAGATKTATTATTAGCCCCTAAACCTCCTTCTAATAAGGACTCAAACATTGTATAGGCAAAACTACAAGAGAATTAAAAATCAGGTTTTCAGAACATTAAAGCAAAATTCGTACTAAAGATGAGAGATCTCCTGTTGCCAGACATTTTATGACAGCTGGTCATGAGGTTTGCTCCTTGAAATTTCAAGGTATAGAAGTTGTTCCTCCTCTCAAAAGAGGAGGTGATAGAGATAAACTTCTGCTACAAAGAGAAGCATTCTTGATCCGCTCTTTACAGACTGTTTTAACCCTAAAGGACTTAATGAAGAACTGGTGTTGAACTGCTTTCTGTGATTTTTGTCCTTTTTGTAAAAACATTTTCTGTAACTTTTCTGTGATTTCATGTATTCCTATATATTGCATATTATTGAAGTCTACTAGTTGTGCTTGTTAGTCACAGATGTTTCTTTTTTTGGGGCTGATTGCCCAACCTGATTGTGATTACCCAACCTGTTTGTGATTGGCTTAGGTGTTTTTTACCTCTTTATATAGATTTGTAGTTTGTCTGGTCTGTAACAAGTTGACGACGACATGTAGCTGAAACACATCCTGTTTTCTGCCCTTATTAAAACCATGGTATTTTTTGGAGTGCTGGTTATCCCATTTTTTTTTTTTTGATTCTTCAGAACCAGGCATCCATTTACTCTTCTCTCTTTTTTATAAGGAAATTTGAGTTGTACGCACTAAAAAGTTTTCTTATTAAGTGATACAGACAAGATTCAGTTGAGAAAAATRAGACAAACTAATCAATTGTCATGCAAAAGTGTAAAAGTTTAATATTGATGTTTCAAGATTTTTGAGAGAGTTGTTTTCACCTAGCCTACATAAAGACTTGTGCTCTTTCCGSCATACTCGGTGCTCTAAGACTGATTTTGATAAGGTACTAATGAGGATTACTAGTTACAGAACATCACTTCAAAAACAACTGGACATCTCATTTTAAAGGTCTGTGTTGTGTTCGATTGAGTTTAGTGGTTAGTCGGTATAACGTTGGACCCGTCACTCACACATGGATTAGTGGACTTTTCRTCACACAAGCAGGAATCTGGGATGATGCCTTCCCAGTCTGTGTAGTTCTCCACTCCACAGCACTGCAACTAAAAGGAATATTAATTATTAAATTAAAGAAGACCTATATGTAAATAATATTTGTTTGTAGCAGAACAATCAACAGGAGTAAAAGGTCTTCAAGAACTGATCTGTATCTGAGCTACAGGCCATWCTTTACCAAGTCCTTGTCAGTGTTGTATAAAGTACCACAAAGTGATACTTGACTAAAAGTACGTGTCTTACCAAAAACTGACTTTGGTAAAAGTTAAAGTCTCCTTTAGGAATATTACTTGAGTAAAAGTCTTAAAGTATCTGACATTTTTTGTACTTAAGCATCAAAAGTAAAAGTATTGGTTTAAAATGAGCAGTTAGATTTTCTGTAAGGACATTTACTAGGAGGTGACCTTCCCCCAAAAAATGCAGAAATGACTATATTGTATTAAAAATAATTAATTGATGTTAAATTTAGGATGTACTAGTCTAGCTGTTTCAGTTTATATCAAGGGTGACCAAAACTTTTCCCCAAAATGAAAATCCATCTGAGGGCTGCGACCGAATGCAATAATATAATTCATGAAATACAAAATACTTCTTAAGAACAGTCCTTTTATTTTAATGGTTATGTCCTGCTGGCCTGTGACAGGATTTGTTTGTGTACAAACTAATACGGTATCAGTATTTTATATATTTATACTTCTCATTTAACCACAATTAAATTCACTCTGTCTAGGAGGCACAATTTATATGGATAGTATTTATTTTTTACAATAACAAGCTGGAATGAAACCAAGCAGAAATGAAATAAAAGTAACGACTTTCTACTTCTTGTCTTTTTTAAAAATGTAAGAAGTAAAAAGTAGATAATTGTGTGAAAATGTAAGAAGTAGGAGTAAAAAAATAGGCTGAAAAATAATTACTCAAGCAAAGTACAGATACAACAAGATTACAACTCTGGTCCTTGTGATTCAGCRTTTATTTTGGAGTTTCTTACCTCTGCCTGTTTATATTTGAGATTAGCTAATTCACTCTCTGTAGCATTAGCGAGAGGCAGCATGATGTAATATCGACTCATCATGGCAGCTTCCAGCTGTTGAATAGAAAACAAAATTTAAAAGGAAACACTTGAACAAGTGTGCCTGAAACGTAAGTCTTAAAGTGTAATATATGGCGCAGAAAATCGATGCAGATGAAAAAGTTTAAACTCAAACATACCTGGGGTTTTAACACCAGATAAGCAATTTCACCTGCAATCAGGTACAGACAGATCAGGATCATCCCCACTGCAAACTGACACAAACAAAATCAAATGTTAATTTCTTGCATTTAGGTATCTAACAATTAATAACGTGTTTTTACATGCATATGCAGTTTATGCAAAGTCGTGCTGCTGCAGTATGTGGTTTAGCAATGTATATGTGTTTTTCTTTACTTACTACTATTAGCGCCCACATCTTCTCTTTCCTGGCACCAAGTGCACCAAAGATGAGGAGGATCAGAGTTAAAGCAGAAAACCCATAAATGAAATGCAGCCCCATAAGACTTTCTGTCTGCGGAGAAATCACACCAGGTGTTTCATTAATCTAAATAATTAGTATATATGTTTAAATTCAAAGTTAATATTCTTCTGTTTTCACCACTGAGCAGAAAGGTGTTTCTTTGATTTGTCACCAGTTTTATAATAAATGTACAAAAGGATATCTCTCCAATATGTTAATATAAATGCAACTTACCTCTTCATCATTTAGTAAATATCCATGAACAAAAAGAGAGAGTCCCACCAAGAGAATAATGAAGACCTGCAACAGAACAAACACTACTAATTTTCATCATTTATTAACATAAAACTGGAGAATTGAACAAAAAATATTTTTACCAAGGAGATCCTCTGTCCCCACTACTGATTTGTCTACCCCTTGATCGAATGGTTTCCAAGATCATTCAAGGGGTTGAAGTACCCAAAGACAACATGGTTATATTCAAGATAAACAAAGTTTATTGTGGCAACCGCAATGAGGCTGCAAGGAAGCATCAGGAAGAAAGTCTCCAATGATGAACTGCWAAGTGAATGTCTCGGAGAGCAGAAACCCAGTCCTACGGGTTGTTGTGGGCTGATGGACAACAAAGAGGCACTAATCATGGCCACACAAAAGCAATAGAAGTCTACCCCTGAGATATTCCAGCACCTTATAACAGGATGTAAGATGCAGGCAGGGAACGCAAACATGGGAAGCCATAACCAAGTTGGAATAGTGTACAAGTGGAACATCTGTGGACTGCAGTCAAAGCGGGAGAGTGGCAGGGCTGAGCGACCGGGAAACTTTCAGATCCAGACTGACAAACAAGCGATGACTAACCAACTGGACGTTTTTATGGTCGACACTCAAGAATACTGAGAAGTGCCAAGTGAGGATAAAGGAACCAGAAGTTGAAAAGAGTCAAGACCTCGAAACACTCTGTGCTTTGACCTCCCAACTGGAATTCCCTCCAGCAGACCCCAGGAACAATCAGATCTCTGTCCAGAAGAATTCCATCTTTGGAAGAGCTAGGGTCCTGCACAGACCCCTCAAGCTCCCAGATCTTTGGTAAAGAACCAGTTTGAAGTGAGGGGGAACCCCTTGTGGGGAAAAGGCAAACTTTCTTTAAATAGTTYTCTTTAAAAAAAATCATTTAAATATTGTGCTGTTTGTTCAAAGGTTTCCACAACTGGTTTGTTTAGAGTTCAGCCTGAGTAGGTTATGTGTATAAAATATGTTTATTGGTTTTGTAAAGCAGTGATAGTCTGATCAAAAAGTTCAGACTGTATCAACCCTGATTTATGAAAAAGATTTTCTGTTCACTTTCTCACATTTTACAGTCTTCATCAAAAATATCCTATAAGAGTTTCTCTTCCTCCCATGTGTTTTGATCTCTTGAGATTCATCTGAAACGGCAGAAAGTCTGTCCACACAATTAAAGAGGTACAAAACGGGAAACACTTACCGCCATCACACTTATCACTCCATAGTAACTCCGTTTCAGCCAGATGTTCACTCTCATTGTTGCTCTCTTTGGCTCTCCACATTAACGGTGTCGCAGTTCCTGCAGGAACAGAAAGAGAAATAAAACTGTGGGAGGAGAATAACAGGAGCTGTTATTCTCCCCACATTGAAGGAGTGGCATCTCTGTGACAATGAATGTGTACAAACTTCCCCGTTAGGAAGAATAAAGCTGTCTGATTCTCTGTGTTTCACTTGTTAGATAATAAGTTGTACATAACATGTTTTTCTATTTGGTGCAAATAAAAGAAATGCATGGACACAAACGTTCATTTASTTTTCTAAAAGGGTTAGTTCTCAACAAAGAAATGTCACAAATTCCTGCTTTTATACCCATTTCGCATGAAAAGCACTCAGAACTGCTGAGTAATTCCTCAGACTTCATTATCTCCCAGAGGTAAAATGCTAAAAGAAATTCTTTGAAAGTTTCTGGAACCTGTTTTGAATTTTGAACATGTCCTTTAACACACGTCCATCTTCACAGTGACAGAAAACTGCCAAAATACTGGCCGAAATAATTGGAAGCAGCTGTTCTGTGGAAAAAGTACAATGATTGCACAATTGCAGCTGAAGAATCCAGGATTTACAGGATGTTGTGTAACTATTCTTGGACTGCGAGCCTTAAAACGAAGCCAAACTTTTAACAAGCTCAAATGTTATGTTAAAGACAAGTAAACCTTGGGTTGTATTAGCAGTAATGGCACATGGTTTTGGGAAGGTAAAATAGAACAAATGCTGAAGATTTCTCTCAGAAAATGCTAGAAATTGACAGTTGTTCCGTCTTCTAAGGTGGGATAACAGAAAAACAAAAGCATAAAACTAAAACACTCAAGCAAAATTACGTGTAGGATTGATTTACGGTGAAGATTTTATTGAAAAAAGAGTAAGTTCAGAAACAAAACCATCCAAACAATCAGAGAACCATAATATTCACTTCCATAATACACTTACTAAAGTATTCAGATGTTTTTTAGCTGATAAAATGGAAAGATAAAAGTTCAAATGATAAAAACCCACAGTAGCGTTGATAAACTACAAATACACGTGTGATTTAAAAAAATTGGAAATCATCCATCATGAGCTTCTTTGAGTCATCTGTAGTTTCCTGTATTTGCCTCAGAACTGAGGACCACCTGAGGCGTTTTCAGCTTCTTTCTCATTTGACACAAGATGGCAGCACACAACCCTATTGATAATGCCTGTGCAAAAGAAACAAAACGGAAACAGTTCTTTATTTTTTTTTATATAGAAAGTGCCTGAAAAAAGAAGAAATAGAATTAGAATGAAGGAAATCTCTGAACTCCATTTGTTCAATGTTAATAAGAATTGTCAGGTAAACGTGTAACACATTCCCTTTTTCATGATTAAAATGGAAGTTGGTAAACAGATTAACACACAACAAAACACAGTACCACAGTAGCATAAATCCCACCCTAACGGCCGTTGTTACATGTATGACGACTAGGGTCTGTGCAATGATGAGTGGAAGGTACAGCTGCAACAAAACAGACATTAAATGTACATTGTTTTCCATTGATCATGTATGTACATTGTGTGAAAAAGATGGAAGTGTTATCTCTTTGATGAGTGTTTCAAAGACTATGTCCTGATGCATCTCAGTAATCCAGGTAAAAAAAATCAAAAAGGAAAAATTGTGTAGGTCTTCTGGACAGGTTCTTCTCTAATGAAACGTTTCGTTTCTTCTCCAAGAGACTTCTTCAGTCTGAGAGTTTCAGGCAAAATTCAGGCTTTTAAGCCCTGCCTCCATGTGACTGATACTCCACATCACATGGCTATCGTTGACACCTAATTAACACTTATTGTTAACAGGGGGCGGAGTGATACTGGCAATGGCCGCGCTGTAGGAGGGGGACAACTGAAAACGGAGGCCTCCACCTCTGTTTAATGATGGACGGTCTTTCTTCACAAAAATGGCTTCTTTTACTCCTCTCTCAAACCAACGTTCCTCTCTATCAAGAATGAGAACATCCTCATCTCTGAAAGAGTGACCGCTGGCCTGTAAATGAGTGAAAACTGCAGAGTTCTGGCCATTAGATGTAGCTCGTCATTGTTGGGACATTCTTTTGAACAGTGGCTGCTTTGTTTCCCCGATGTATAACTGGTCGCAGTCCTCCTGGCACTTAACAGCATATACAACATTGCTCTGTTTGTGCCGGGGTAAAGAAGTGCCAAAGATCCGGTGCCCCGGCACAAACAGAGCAATRTTGTATATGCTGTTAAGTGCCAGGAGGACTGCGACCAGTTATACATCGGGGAAACAAAGCAGCCACTGTTCAAAAGAATGTCCCAACACAGACGAGTTACATCTAATGGCCAGAACTCTGCAGTTTTCACTCATTTACAGGCCAGCGGTCACTCTTTCAGAGATGAGGATGTTCTCATTCTTGATAGGGAGGAACGTTGGTTTGAGAGAGGAGTAAAAGAAGCCATTTTTGTGAAGAAAGACCGTCCATCATTAAACAGAGGTGGAGGCCTCCGTTTTCAGTTGTCCCCCTCCTACAGCGCGGCCATTGCCAGTATCACTCCGCCCCCTGTTAACAATAAGTGTTAATTAGGTGTCAATGATAGCCATGTGATGTGAGTATCAGTCACATGGAGGCAGGGCTTAAAAGCCTGAATTTTGCCTGAAACTCTCAGACTGAAGAAGTCTCTTGGAGAAGAAACGTAACGTTTCATTAGAGAAGAACCCGTCCAGAAGACCTATACAATTTTTTTTGTTTGTTTCAAAGACTATGCTAAATAAAAACACAAGCAAAACAAATGTGTTTAAGAGTTTTGCAGATAAACTTTAAGGAAAAGAAGGTGCTCAAAAATGAGGTACAAACTACACTTCATTACATTTTTTTATGTTTCTCCCCAAGCGTATTGCAGTGAAGTTATTCCATTTGAGATCGAGGGTCTGTACCATTTAATCCTTTCACAAGGGGTGCAAGAGTTTGGTTTGCATTGCCGTCAGTAAGTTGGACCCCTTCAGTGTAGGAGCAGAAATCCACCACTGTTCATGGCTGGGATGAGAATCAACACCCCCAAATCTGAGTCCATCCTCAGTCGGTTAGGAGTGGATTCTCTCTCTGKGTTGGGGGCGAGGTTCTGCCTCAATTGGAGGAGTTCAAGTATCTCAAGGTTTTGTTTAAGAGTGACCAAAAGACAAGTTGATGCAACTTCACGATATTGCATCCTCTCTGCYGGTGCATTGATGTGAAGAGGGAGCTGAGCTGCAAGGTGAATCTCTGTTTCCTAACCCTACCCTGTATAGTCACGGAMTTTGTGTAGTGACCCAAGTAACAAGACTGCGATCAAACCGAGTTTTGACTCTTCCCCAGGGTGAGAAGGTAAGTTATCTGGGAGAGACTCAGCACTGCTGCTCCTCYACAAGAGGTAAAGATGCTCTGGATGCCTCTCTGGGGAGGTTTTTCAAGGCATATCCAATTGGAAGGAGACCCAGGATGGATGGATGGTGACTGTATAGCCTAAATACAAAACAAAAATACAGACTTGTTAATAACCATCTTCTCTGCATAAATCCTGACGGCCCGGCCTTCCATAAACAGGTTTGAGTCTCTTGGAGCAGCCGTCTAGAAAAATAGAGACGATTGATTAGTTTGTTAGTTGTAACAGCTAAAATGTTTCTAGACAAGACCAGCACTATTCTCTCACACCACAATGAGTTCTTCACCCTCCGTAGTTGCCATTATGGAAGGATCGCATTACAAGAGTTGTAGTTGTGCTGCCTTAATCAATAAATGTTTAATTCTGGCAGAAGAAACGAGAATTTACAGGTGAAACTCTGTCACTCACACATGGATTTGTGGACTTTTCAGCACACAGGCAGGATTCTGGGATGTTGTTTTCTCAATCCCTGTAGCTCTCCATTTCCACAGCACTGGTGCTAACAGGATATTAAAGAAGAGAATTGGTTATAAGTAATAAGGTAATAAGGTGAGGTGAATCCAAGAGAGCACCCAGGTCATATCCAATTATTAGGCAACGCAAAAATAAATAAAATAAGTCATGCAGGTAGGACGGAGCTTGGAGAGCAAAAAGTGGATGTGACCGTAAAGCAGGGGAGTGGAGAACAACGAGTAATGATTGAGCAGATTAGTGATAATTACAGATGTTAGTGGCAGAGTGGTGACAGAGAAACACAGTTGTGGGAAAAAAACATAACTGCCAGACTAAACTGGTTACGCAACTCTGATGGCTAATGAACCAAAAACAATCTGGCAGCAACAAAGACAGCAACTAAAATATACTGATGTTAAAACCTGTATCAGAGAGATTTTGAGGCAGACAGTTTGTCAAAATTACCAGTCTGGTATGATAAAACAAGAATAATTAACTTTCTTCATGAGGTTTAGTTTTGATAATTGACACTTTGGCTACACTTTATGGCTCTAGATCCAGTAATATTTCATAATCTCCTGTAAAATGTGGGAAAACTGAAGTCATTATGTGAAGTGTTGATGAAATGAGAATGGGGACCCTCCAAGATCCACCCTGGTCAACGATTCTTCTTACAGATAACTCTCCAACTGATCTATTCCTTAACAAAGAAGCAGCCTTGACAAATGAGGAGCTTGTAATGGAAATCGTTTCTCAGCTAATATCCAGTCAGAACCAGCTACTTTTGTCTACATGTGCACTGAAACCACATTTCTTSTGTTTGTCACACACTCTATCATTGATTGAGAAAATTTGATTAAATATTTATTATCAGATAATCAAACAATGAAAATACAAGCTTACATGAATATTGGTTTGAAAACAAAAACAGTTAACACAAACCACAGAAAACTGGGTATTTTCTTAAAAACACACAAATTGTTAACAATTTTCAACAGCTCTTTTATTTGGAGACTGCTTTTAATTTATAATTTCACATCATCTGGACAGTTTTCTGCTCACAACTGATGGAAACTTGAATTCAAGGAGCCAAATTACAAAAAACTTTGGTTCGTTTGTAGCAGAGTTATAAAGTAACTAAGTACAAATAGTTTGTTACTGTACTTAAGTAGAAATTTTGGTTATCTGTACTTTACTTGAGTAATTATTTTTCAGCGTACTTTTTATTTTTACTCATTACATTTTTACACAATTAACTGTACTTTCTACTCACCACATTTTTTAAAAAAGGTAAGAAGTAGAAAGTCATTACTCCTATTTTATTCTGAGTTGTTATTACTTTAAAAATACTATCCTTATATTGTGTCTCCTGGATAGAGTGAATTTAACTGTAGTTGGATGAGAAGTTGTACACAACCCATCACAGCTGCACGCCGTTAGAAAAAACATTTTTTGGAGAAGTCACCTCCCAATAAATGTCATTTTGGAAAATCTAACTGCTCACTTTTACTCAGTACTTTTACTTTTAATACTCAATTAGATTTTGTGTCAGAAATTTAC